TAAAGTTTACTCGGGTCATTAATTATTTTATTTTAACATTGATTTATAAGAATACACAATCTATTTTTACACAATAAGTAAAGATGATGTGAGATAGGTAAAAACCTGTAAAGCTTTTACCGTGTTTCTTTTATTTTGTTACATTCTTTAGCTAAGCGAAAAGGCTGTACCTTTTTTACAATATCTTATTTATACATATTGACTTCTGAATGCAATAAATAATAATACAATAAGTCTATGATAAACAAATTTACAATAGTAACCCTAGTCCGACTTAACGAATTAACCCATCCAATTTCAAAGCGGATTTAACCATCTTCCTTTTGTTCTTGGGTGGAGTGTTGAAAATCTTCCAGAATCTCAAAGTATTATCATCGCCACCTGCGCCCGTGACAATATCTTCACCATTCGGAGATAAAGCGAAATAAAGTACACGGTAAGTGTGTCCCTTTAATGTTGCAATTTTTTCCATCGATGGATACCGCCAAACAATTACATCGTTATTCCACCATCCATGAGTAGATACGATCTCATTCGCGTTTGGTGACCATTGTAGGTTACATACCTTTATTTAAGAGTTGAAAGAAAAAAGTTATAAAGGAAGTGAAAAGTTTGTAAACTCCAAATTTGATATTTAGCTGGAGTCTACCTGAGACTTGACATTATGAATAGACAAACATTTTGCATTCAAAGTATTCCAGAAACGAACTTGTCGATCCAAGTGACCACCTCCGCTTGCCAATAAGTTACGTGTATGTGGACTCCATGAAAGAGCACGGACAGCAGCTTTATGCCCATCAAGACTTTGAGCTGGACTACAACTTTCATTATTCCAGATAAAAAGTTCGTTGGCGTTACCACCACTTGCCAATTGATCTCCTTCGCTATTCCACTTTAAACCACATATCTTAACAAGCGTTAAGGGAAGAAAAGGCCATGTATTTTACTCTCGTGACATGAATATGCATCTTGTAAAAAAAAAAACAAGTTTCCTAATTAATATTTACCTCGGATTTGTGTCCC